CCTCCCTGCTGAGCCCGGGGGTGCACAGGTGGGTGCACAGAGGCGCCGAGAGATCTCCGTTTTCTCTGTACTTTCCCCAGGCTCAGACCCCGCCCCCCCAATCCTCCAGTCCTTTCAACTTTCCTACAGGCATGTCCTCCTGTGTTCTTTCCGCTTCTCCTTTAATGAAGCGTTGATCCAACGGGAGACAAATGGAAAAAGTTAAATTTTAAAAATATATAGGTGAATAGTCTAACCAGACGTCCATAGAAAGAAGAAAGACATCCCTGGAAAGCATTTTAAAAATGATTTCTAACGGTGATGGTTTAACAGAATGTTTAACCTAGAGGTCTTATTATTAACGGTAGTACAATTCAACATGAGGTGCATTTGTTTTTCACCCAGTTCAGTTATTCCTTATGCATAAATACAGTGAATAGGCAAATTTGAATAGTTTGCTTTTGATTTTTTTGACCCTCTTAGAAGATCACAAAACGAAGTGTGTTATTTGTATTAATAGTCAGAATTCTGTCGATTAATCCGTAATCGGCAATTGAGAATGCACAACTTGACAAGTCCCCTTTGTCACTTTTGCAAGGGACTTAAGTACAGAAAAGACAAGGCATGTATGTTAAAGGGGAGAAAGGTTACCCTTGAAGAAATTGCTTTCAGGTCTTTATCTCAGTCGGTAAAATGAGGGGCTTGGACTTTCCTGTTCTTATACTTCTTTAATGTAAACGGGTGCAACTTTCTTATGGAGCTAACGCTACAAAATAATGTTGATAAGCATGTACCACAAGGTTAGAGTACATGCATTTACCTTGTTTTTAAATTGTTTTTAGGCAGAGTTTGATCCCATTTTGTAACCTGAGGATTGATTTAACCTTTAATTAGATGAGGATTCTTTATTTTTGAAGTGGAATCTCCTGAACTTGTTAGCATATTTTTTTACTAGTAGAATAGATAATCTTATTTCTGGTCAGTTTATGATAAATTATTTCCTCTGTAAGGACACTATGGCAAAGCTTACTATAATTATTAGGCCCAGCCTGCCAGTAGGTAAGCATTTATTAGTTGAATCATTTGACCTGATTCATAGGACAATTGCTATAACTAGGACTATTTTTATCATGAATGAAGACATACTAAAATCTGCAGGCTTCATTTGCTTTTGTCTTTATGCACATTGATTTGGGTGTTTTTTAGATCTGATTGACTAAAGAAATAAATTCACTGTCAATTAAAATATTAAATATCTGCTGTATGTTTGAAGAGAAGTAACACACCTTAATAAGGCCCTCTCCGATTGTCCTTGCTCTCCAGTTCTCCACAATCTAGACTGAAATGCAATGTTGTGCTTTGTTTTTACTGTATGAACAAACTGCTGTGTGGAAGGACCAAATGAGTACCTTATACTACTTGCAGACTCTAATTGCTTAACTGGAGTAATGCAGAAGGTCTGTCTGATATGACCCTCTGATGTTTGATTTCAGTGTTAAATATTAAGTAAGCACATTCAGAAAATAATTTTTCTGGTATTTGTTTATGCTGTTCCTGACCCGTTGCTGCTCTTACTACTGTTTCCACAACAGAGTTAATTTCATGTGGATATTCATTAATTTTTCTGAATTTGCTTGAAAAATTTTTGTTTTCATCTAAAACTAATACCATAAGGTTTTGATGTTTTTTTCCTTTGTTCTTTAGACTATCTCACAGCTCATTAGTAGGTGAATCAAACCAGTTTTTCTTATTGTGTATTAACAGCTCAGGTAAGGGTTTGGTAAAAGTAGAAATTGCAGTCAAGATCATTTTTTTTTTTTCAACGATGAAGGATATGATGACCAGAATTTCAATTTACAATCTTTAAAAAAATCACCAATTATTTCAACTAGCAAGAGCTTGATAAATATGCCAAACAATACAGATTTGCATATTCTTCCTCACCCACACTTTGAAGTTGCTTAAACAATAAAGAAAAGGAGAGCATGTTAGACTGATACTGAGCACCATTTGCTGTGTGAAGTGCTCTATGAGACATTGATAGTAAAAAAAAATATACACTGTAAGGGTGTCTGCCTTAGCTTCCTTCTGAGTGACCTCTGCATTAAGTAGAGGAAGAGTTGGTTTGGAGGGGAAGAACCTAAGAGAATTTCCTTGTGAGCTAACCTAATCTCTTGAGTGATAAACTTGAACATTCAACATTCATTTCCCTGCTTGCTCAAGCCTCTTCCGATTCTTTCTTTCTCCCCTTCCCACACCCCTGTCAAAGTCTGGAGGGGTAGGGGTTATCTCCTCAAGCAAAGATATCCCTAGGGCAGCGGTTCTCAACCTGTGGGTCGTGACCCCTTTGGGGGTCGAATGACCCTTTCATAGGGGTCGCCTAACACCATCGGAAAACGCATATATAATTACATATTGTTTTTGTGATTAATCACTATGCTTTAATTATGTTCAATTTGTAACAATGAAAATACATCCTGCATATCAGATATTTACATTACGATTCATAACAGTAGCAAAATTACAGTTATGAAGGAGCAACAAAAATAATTTTATGGTTGGAGGTCACCACAACATGAGGAACTGTATTAAAGGGTTGCGGCGTTAGGAAGGTTGAGAACCACTGCCCTAGGGTAAGGGAATCATTTCTGAGATTATAATTTCAAACATTACTTTACCCTCAAGACAAGAACTAAGAGGTTGGGTAAATGAGGAAATCTCATAACAGCTGAGCTTGGTCTGGATGAAAATCCAAGACACATATTAAATTTCAGTTTACCTTAAAAATTCCGTAGTGAGCACATGGTGCAATACACAGGTCTTGTAACAAAGAAACCCACACCTGAAACCTGTATGTTCATGTTAACTAATGTCACCCAATTAATTAATTAAGGAAGGAAGGAAGGAAGGAAAGAAAGAAGGAAAAGTTATAGGCCTGGGGGAAAAATATCCCTACCTTACTTCTCTGTGTTCTATAGCTAGCTCAGATTCATAAGAGCCCAATTCTAACTTCCTGTACACACTTTGGCCTGCTCCTGTATTCCTTAATTCAGATAAATGAAGGATGGCCATCATTCCAAGTGGTGATGATGACCAAACTTCTGATTTGCATGGATGGGTATTGCTACTGAGAAGTTCAGTTCTATTATAACTCAACTCTGAAGGTTTGGTGTCTTCTCATTGTGCATTGTATTCACTTTGTTCATTCATCCTGAAAGGTACTAATCATTTCAGAGACTCAGTTTTGAGTTCTTCAATTTTGAGAAATTCTATTGATTTATTCCTTCAATAATTATCTGCCTTTCATTCTTTTGTGCAGTCCCTCCCTGAAACTCATTTATGTTGGATTTTTTACTACCAGAATTGAATCTCCAATTTGTATTTCTCTTCTATTTCCATCTCTATCACCTTTTACTCCTTGTACTCGGATTTTAGATTTCTTTGACTTTTTCTTCTGAGCCTTCTAAATAATGATATTACTACGGTTTCAACTATTAGCTCTCATAGTTTTAAAATATGCATGCTTTTTATTTATTGATTTTTTTGTTTTTTATTTTATGGATACACTAGGGGCCCAGTGCATGAATTCGTGCACCTTGAAAGGAACTGTGGGCTGCGAGGCTGCAGTGGGGACAGGGGCAGGTCTCAGCCTATCCTCTGTGCCCCCACCCGGCACCTCCCACCACGCCCCCAGTCCCCTGTCTGCCAGCAGCCCTGCTGATGGCGCCGGCCCTGCTTGCACCTGCTGACGGTGCGGAGTGATTGGCTGCCCCAATCACCCCTCAGGAGCAGAGGGAGGTGGAGAAGCCCTCACGGGCAATCAGGGTCGGCAGCCGCCACTTGTACCCACTGATAGTGCCAAGTGATCGGGACTGGCACCAAGCACCGGCAGCAGGTGCAAGTGGCAGCTCTGGCATCGGCAGCGGGTGCAAGCAGGGCCAGCACCGGCAGCAGGTGCGAGCACCGGGCGGGACCACGGCGCATGGGAGCAAAGAATTTTCAGTAGCCACCAGAGGCTTGCCTTGATGACAGCAACCGGTGCTCCGCCTTGGTCTGGCACCCCTCTCACCTGCTCCACCATCCTACCGCAGCCAACGCCTGCCATGTTCCGTGCTCGCCCCCTGGTGGTCAGCACATATCATAGTGATCGGTTGTTCGGTTGTTCGGTTGTTCTGCCATTTGGTCTATTTGCATATTAGGGTTTATATATATAGATAATCTGTGCTTATTTCTCTAACCATATTAACAATGTATTTTAGTTTACTCTCCCCATTTCTGTCTTGTGTCTTTTTTCTCTAAATAACATCCTGTTGTTGTTGTTTAGTTGTTCTTCACGCTGTAGGATTTTTTCAGATGTCTGCTGATATAAATGACTAAAAATACTTTCCACTTATATTTAAGAGCAATATAGTATGGAGTTGAAGCTCCAAGTGCATTAGTAAGGCTTATAACCACGGGCTTCACTGATGGGTGATTCAGGGTATTTTAATTGGAGAACCCCCAAATATTAAAGAGGGACTATTAAATCATTCATTAGGGATGTGGAGTAATAAT